CTGAGCAAAATGAATAAAACCTTCCAATTTTGGTGCATCATTCTGCTGATAATTGCTACTCTATGTTGTACTCTGGAATTAAAATAACAGACTCTTTGGTGTACAGCTTAAAAAGGGAGTTGATAGAGCAGACAAGTCCTACTATGAATGGCATGTAGTCTATGCTATGTAGGCATTGTATCAATTCAGTTTTTATCCACATTTCTGTTGTTACTAAGAGTAACATGAGTCAACACAATTATGAAATATTAACTTCAATGGGGTTTTTCAATGCAGCTAATAGGTTGCAAGCTACATTTTCACAACATAGGCCCATACTTAAAGGGTAAGTATTTCCATGGATGGACGTAATTTTCATCATAGATAAAAAAAATAATCAGGAAATAAGGGGACATTTACATGGCTTTATACAATAAACATTTAGCGGGGTCACCAGGTAAAGTATAGGTTAGTGTTTAAATACAATTACTGGGGTTCTTACTACATAAAGTTTATGTTTATGTTCTCTCTATGTGTGTGGGTTTTCTCTAGGTAATCTCTGGGTTTGCCAACATGGCTCAAAAACATCAAAGATGAGGTTATTTCGTCATTTAATGAAGTTATCTACATGTATTAAAAGGGGGACATATATAATGATGTGTCTCTCTGCGTGTTATAGCTTAGACATTCCCAAACATTTCCATGCTAAGGCCCCCAAAATACATTAGTTTTAGGTGGGGAGGCCCTTTGCAAACCCACAGACATGTTACAAAATATGTAAAGAAACGTCGACTTTTAGAATAAATGTTCTTACTTTTATTCACTCTTCAATAATAAGCAGACAAACGTTGTTTAAAAAAACTTAAACATGCGCTAGCTAGCTATACGCTAGCTTGAGGAGTGTTGCCAGGTGGGAAATTATTGTACCTCAGGTATAATATTATCGTACTTTCTCGAAGTTATCGGGCGATGCTTACTTTTACTTTTCCCCGCCGTCTGCTTCGCCTCTCTTACATCTCCTCCTCCTTTTCCTACTTCCCACGGTCATTTTCCCTTGGTTATTCTTTATTTCCCTTATTTTCTCTCTTTCCTCCCCAACTGTAGCGTCTCATGGGGCAGGTGCAGCAGACACTTCAGCCAATCAGGCTAGTTGTTTTGAGGCAAGAACGTAGACGAGTGACGAGCATGATTTAGGAAAGCACTACAACTACAACTACACATTCACGGAATGACCAAATTATCGTATATTTACCCTTTTGGGGAATTATTAATCGTACATCTTACTGAGGACCACATTAATTTTCAAATACGTAAATGTGTAAACTTCCAGGTCTACACAGATTGTGACGTCGTCACGCCGAATTTGCAGCGAGACACACGAACGTGCGTTCACGTACCATCGGAAACTTTAGAGCAGTTTACGTATTGTAGGGTTAAGGACAAAAGGTTTGTTTTTTTATATTTATATAATTTTGAACCACACGTACACACAGATTTGTGATTTGTGTTCGAAAATCTAAAATATGTAGACTTTAACTCAGAGACTTTAGCTTTTGCGGTTTGAATAAAGACAATTTAGAAAATTGCTAAATTAGCTAATGGCTATCAGCTTCTGTGGGCTAACTTGTTGCAACAAAATTTGGTTTAAAACTGAGTTGTTTAATCACGTTTGCCATACAGTGAAATTATATATATGTATATGTATATATATATATATATATACACATATATATATATATGTATATATATATATATATATATATATTTTAAAAAATGTCCAATCTTCTCAGGCCTCACTAGGTCCCCTTATCGGGCCCCACTTTTCAAACCACTGTTACAGTTTTCAGAACCTGACTTTAATGAACACAATCCATAGCATTTAATTCATTACATTGTGAGACTTTTTTTTTGACATTTGTCAGGAGCAGACAAAGATGGAGCATTTATGTGAATTAAGATAAATTATATGTAAAAGTCATGCATAAAGGCTAAAATGCTAAAATGTTTTTAGCCTTTTCTACGCCATGTATCGTTGAAATATTGCATAAGTATTGCAGGGAAAAGGCGGAAGTATTATGATAATAATAATGTAAATAATAACATATTTTGGACAACTTTGGTGGGCCGGATTAAAAAGCTGTTACGACATAAATTGTCACTGGATACTGGCAGCTAGTGAATTGACAGACGAATGATTAAAAATAATGGTAGTATTTTTAATCACACTTGAGCATTAACTTTATCTTCACATACAGCTCTGTATGTGAAGATAACCACAGCATAGATAGAAAAAAAAAACCAGCATGATAAAAGGATACACTCTACACTCAAGGTTTTGTTAACAGCCTTGCTTGGGTCAAGGTGTATCTGAATTATTTTGACACAAGGGGGCACCAATTCACTGTTTTGGCAGGAGGTATAGTTTGCAGCTCTGGCAATATCTGTAGCATTCAGCACAACCTATAAGTACTCCTCTCCAAACTCTGTCAGTCTCTTATTCATTTACAGTGGAAACAAGTGGCTATAAAAATCAAGACCCGTATGTTTTAAACACCATGTCACCCAATACCAGGAGTGCTCTAACAGCTGCGGGCCATGTTTGTACAGTAGCCTCTGGGTGTTTTGGGGATTTTAGATGTCAAGGTTGTCTTGAATTGCGAGCTCCACGCTTCAGTAGAAAGTGGAAAGTACCAAATGACCCTTTTAATTATCAAGCTGATCCAACTTGATAGGGGGATCAGAGGGGGGTTGGATATGATGAGATGGAAGTTGGTGATAAGTTGTGTGTCTGATGTGCCAAAAAAAAAAAAAAGAAAAAAACCCTATCTCAGCCGCTTCCTCAACAGACAAGGATCGTTAAATGCATTGTGAAATAGATGTGCTGTATTGATCCCAGGCTGGGAAATTTACAAATTTGGGACTGATCTTTCCTTCCTTAAAATGTCTCTTTTTATAAGTCTGTTTGTAATATGAGAAATACACGTAAACACTTCTAAAGTGAAGCTAACCACATATATTTCTTGTGCAGCATAGTCATCAGACTATAGATCAACGAACCAGTAGGAATTCAAATACAATTATTGAGATGATAGGGCACATTCGCAAAATTCAAACACATATTCAATGTTAAACAAAGGAGGACTATGCTCATGCATAGTCGTGGTTACCTTTCCATACAATCAGTTAGCTTCTAACTTCCAAAAATCAACCAGTCTCCAAGATGTAGCCTCCCTAGGCTAATAGTGCTAGGCTACAAAAGAAACAAATTTAGGTTTATCATAATTTAAAAAGTCATAAATACCTTCTCCAGTGTATGTATGATTATAAAGAATACGTTAAAAAAAAGTAAATATAAGTTGGTTATCCGCCACTTTTGTCGTTTTTGTGGCTTATATGATATGTATGCATCTTGGCATAAGTAGCACCAAGCTAAGTGGTAAATATAGAAATGTAATATTCTATACAAACCGTAAGAAGGTAGAATTAAATAGAGATAAGATGCAGTCTGAACTCTTTGATGGCAACTGCAATGGACCGTGTTCTTATCTTTTTTTCTTTTTTTTTTTTTACCGTGTAATCTGTTTTTGGTTTCATTTTTATTGAATTACCAAGTATAATACACTGCCCTACTTTATTGGAATTCTTAAGAAGTCTAGCAGATGAATGTTGTGAAAGCACAGCAGACAGTTCAGAGGAGTCGTCACCTTGGTGAGCACAGCTTTCTATTTCCTTTCCTCAGATTGCCGCTGCGCTGCTTCATAACTGTTTTGGTTTTAACAGAAGGCAGTGATGAGCGTCGGCTCACACAGCTGCACTGACTGTACCTGCACAGACTGCACCCACCTTACACCGGCTCCGTGTCCGCATACAGCCAGCATTGGAGGACGTGCTTCAAGACACCTTGGTGGATAAAAGTAGTGATAGGACAGAAGACAAGTGTGGACTGGACCACCTGGTCCATTTGGTTTTATGGGAGCTATAGGGCGCGCGCGGTGTTTCCCATAGCTGTCAACGCAGCGCGCATCCGAAAACTGGTCAAGAGTTTCTGCCGGCGTCTGTGCGCTCTGTTAATGCCGACCCTCGAAACCATGAACGATGGCCACCACCCGGTTGCCACCGTGCCACTGGATTTGCGCACCATTAACAGGAAGCGTTGCGGGAGTCCAGAGTGCGCAGTGCCGCAGAGATCCCAGCTTGAGCAGAGACACTTACCTGTTGCGCGCAGCAGGACCGTGGGTGTGGACGTTGACACTTCTGCTCTCGACCCAAACAGAGGCGCACCGGCTTCGGACACCTGCGTAACCCGCAAGCGGCCGGCGGACAAGAATTCCCTCAAGCTCCCTTTTCGGAAACGTCAATTCCTCGTGGAGACTGAAGCCCAGCCCGCACAGGTCTACTCGGCCGAAACGAACAGGAAAACCCCGGCAGAGCCAGAGTCAGTACGTGCCACTGACTTGACGGCTGGGAACAGTTGGCTGAGAGATGGAGGAGAGAGCAGGATCGGCGCAGCATCACTGACTCCCAGGACGTGTCAGAACACTGGAGCCAGCGAAGACAGAATCCATTTCTCTCATTTGCACCCAGTCAATTACGGTAAACACTGAAATTTTTTTTTTTATATATATATAACTTTTGACAACACAGTTATTTTTTTTTTAATATATATAACTTTTGACAACACAGTTACAAGATGAGACCATCTCTATTTAAAGAGTTGTGTTCTTCCTTACCCTAACCTTCAACAAGTCCCTTAGCAACACTGGTCACCTTAAGTGGTCGTGTCTGAAAGACAAGAGTCCAGATATTAACATACATTATACAAACATGGACCTTACATAGAACTTGTACTTTCCGACACATTATCCTAATAACTCCAAATTTTGAACCCATCAGGAAATGCAGTCAGCATCCAGTGTGAAGTCAGTAATTTGTGGCGTACGGCTGTAAGAATTTGGCAGCACATGCTACCCATACTAGTTCTGTGTAAAACACCACTGCTTACTTAAAAGTCCAACATCTATGCATTGTTTTACTACATGGTGGCTCCCATTGGCACAATATTTTAGGACTGAATTGACCATAATATGATTTTTTTTTGTTGTTGTTTCTCTACATTTCCATCTCCTCCCTTCGTTTAGGTCAGTACCACCTTGCAACAGTGGTTGAGCCAAATCGCAGTCTGCCTCATCAAACAGACAACCAGTCGGCTGACTTAGCTCTGGCTACACGTCAAGATGAAGACGGAGACACGTATGTTGGACATGTATACGTTTGTCATTTTTCAATCAGTTCCATTTTCCTACCATCTCATGTAGCAATTTCCTTCTCCATATGTGCATGGTAATTGGCAGGTGGCTATATTAACATTACGAAGTTGCAACTCAGATTGCCTTATTTTACTAAGTGGACATAGAAAATAGTGTCATTTCAAGTGTGTTCCCATAGAGTAGGTGTTAAATAAATGATCAAACCAAATGACAAAAAAAAAAAAAAAAAAAAAAAAATTGCCAAAAGGTATTAAACTAAATACAGGGGCACCAAAGCAACCCTTAGCAACAGTGGAGGAGATTCTGTGTATTCATATTATTTCTGAGAACAGTTACTTTCACAGATGTGAAAGGTCCGAGACATGATTTAATGCAAATTGAGAACATTCACTTTCATTTCCCATTGGTGCAAAATATGGTATGACAAAGCAAGCGGTTAAACATTAACATGCACCGTTTAAAGCTCTGAAATCACAAACCTGACATCAGTGCCATGTTGGCACAGTAGGTTTTGTCTAACATGCAAGAGGATTTCACCAAGACATTATATGACATTAAAAAAAAAAAAAAGGTTTGTCATATGTCTTTTCAGATTTAGTATGCTACCTGCTCATATTCATGTAAAAAAAAGAGGAAGTTACTTTTTTTTTTTTTTTCAAAGTGGTTTATGTAATCTGAAAGAGCAGTGGTAAACTGTTAGCATGCGGCACTTCAGGGCAGTTAGTGAGCCAGTAAACCTGCTGCTCAGGTTTACTGGCTCACTACCGTAAAATGCATTTAATTGCATTTTATAGTAGTGAGCCATTGTAAAGCACAGGATATGCAGCACCGGTAGCGTCTGATAGCATGCGGCGTTGTGACCAAGCATGACTCATTTTCTGATGTGTTAGTGTGATAAACACATGCTTGAATACACTGCACCCAAAAAAAAAAATCATAGTATTTTGATGTCACGTTGGAGACAGTTCAAGCCATATGTAACAATTCTGGCCGTTCTGCTTCAAGTTTCAATCACAAAGGCGACATTTGCACACGTGGTATATTGAGCTTTGGTCTCAATTCGCGTAATGAGACGAGTAATGGAGATTACTTACTTTGTATTGTTTAATATCTGTTAACGTAAGGAACGTAAGAAGATATGGGAGTGGAGAAAAAGTTAGATCACGTGCAGGAAGTGCCATCTGAAAGAGGTTGAAGAATGTGAAAGTGTTGCCAGGAGAAACTGTAGCCAAGCGGCACAAGATGGTTGTGCATAAGGTGGAATGGATGGGGGGAGATACGGAAAAAGAAGGAAGGAAAGGAAAGTGAACTGCAACACAACCAAACGTGACCTCTGCTTTTAACCCATCACCGAAGTGAACAGTGGGCAGGATTGAACAGGATTATAAATGCGAAGAAGAAGAACAGTTAAGGTGGAGCAGCTTGTAGATGAAGTTAGAGAGCATGTCGTATCCAGGTAGAGGTAGGGTTTAAGAAACAGAGCAGGGGCGAAGGTGGTGAAGGTCTAATTGTTAGAGGCAAATTGCTGGTGTAAAGTGTCAATAGTCTCAGTAGAAGCCCACATGCTCCCTCCCTAACAATGTGCACCAACCAGGAAGTGCAATCTCTCCAGCGTGGAAATGCTGTGATCAGCACTCTCATTGTAGCCAGATGTCCCAGATATCACCTGAGCTAGCTCCTCTAAAAGTGGAGGAGTAAAGGATCCACTTTGGGCTCTATGAGATTGTTTCTTTTTCTGCAGAGGAAACCAATCTCTACTGCTGGTGGCACGGGCAAACTACGGCCCGCGGGCAATATACGGCCTATTGGGTTTTTTAATCCCGCCCGCCGAACTCGTCCACGTTATATTATTACATTAAATTTTATTATAAAACACCTTAATCATTTTACCTAGCTGTATATCCCATCTTTCCCCCGCAGAGGGCGCCAAAGATATTGACCATTGAGTGTGATGCATTACGGTGATGCATTACTTCATTAAAATGAGCGGAACGAAGAAAAGAAAAGTAGACAGTGAGTGCCGAGTTCTTTCTGTTCTAACCCACAAATATTACCATGGGTGACGATGGTAACGTAGATGAACCGGTTCACTGAAAGCCTTGCCTTCCAACTCAGGTCCTCTCTTTATAACAACTGTGCAGTACAGACTCGGCATCGATGTGCATCAGTGTAGTACAGTGGTCTTTATCCAACATTGGAGAAAGCTACAGTTGAGTAAAGACGTTTGCGCTTCATGACTGCTTTATTCTTTGCGTTCACAGCCACCTGTACCCTTTTACAGGACATGTACAAAAAAAGTGTGCGTTTGGGTGTCTGTGTGTTTGAGTGCATGCATGTATGCGTGCACTGAAACTAGTGAGCTTTTACGTCAATGTCTGTGCGTCTTCTGTTCTCAGCGCCTCTAAGCACTTTAGTTTCGGGAAAACCATTGAATACTAAGTTCTTTTTTAATGGCTGTGGTTTTTCTCAGGTGCCTGTCTTTCTTATCTGTTTTTTTTTTTTTTTTTTAAATGAATGGGCTCAAAAAACCCAAACATCCGCTTCTGACTTCCTCATTTACCGCTTCTCTCTTTCTCTCTCTCCGTTTTTCTCTCCCTCTCTCTCCCCTCTCTCTCTCTCATGTCATTTGCATTCGTTCTTTTCTGACGTGTCTCGCCGTCAACGTCTCAGCTAATTTGTGTGGCGCACGGTATGCAGGGGTGCATTTCTATGGCAATAAATTGCCAATTGCCTTCGGCTCGTGCATTCACTTGAACACGTTTTGAGGAGTTATGAAAAATATGTGACTGCAGATCAAGAGCTTGATCAAACAAACTGGTCCAGTTAATCTGTAAATTTGACACAGGTTTTGTCCGTTCATTTAAAATACATTTTAATATGGCTAATTTTCTTTAAGCAAGTTAAGCAAGTTAGCCATACGTTTTTTTAAGATGTCTAGTGCACAGGTGTTATGCTTCATGAAGTGAAGAATGAAAAATTTGAAACTGCAATAGTCTGCTTCCCAAATAATAATAATAAAAAAATTCAAATAATCACTTGAGTAATTTACTACGGCAGCGGCAAAACAACAGCAATGATCCAAAGCTGAGGATGTTAGCAGGGTTAGCTCATCTTAGCTTTAAAAGATAAAACGCCACTGATGCATTTATCCCCTGTACTTGCTAGCGCACTGCTAATGTGCTGTTGACTTATGCCTATACACAGGGCTATAAAATGCTTACGTAGCGTCACATACAGGCCAAAGAAGAAGAGCTACATGCTTTATGCTAACAAAGAAGATACCGTAATGATTGAACAAAAGTTCATATTTCTCCACTTTACTGCACTGGAAAATTAACATCAGCTAAAACTGCTAACCGTAAATGCATTCCAGCACTCACCCCCTACACCAAACAGCCTTATTAAACAGTAAATAAATATAAAGAAAAAATCTCTTTGTCACACTATATTAACTAGATTTAATAGCTACAGTCTTACTTTTTGTGGAAAAAAAAAAAGGTTTTGAACGTTGAGCGTTGCAAGTTTAGCATTAGCATGAAAATCACCTTACAAGTACCTTTCACGTCGGCAAATTTCCAACATTTGATGGAAATAAATAGAGATGAAAATAAGAAATGATTTAATTTCAGCTTGTCAGAAGTGCAAGTTTGCTGATCTTTGTTTACTCTATGCGCAGACTTTGACCCATTGCCCTATTTCTCAGCTGGTATGTAGACCACAGGATATGATAGACTTCTGTCTGGTCTTAAAGGCTTCTTCGCTCTGGCTGCAACTTCACCCTTCATACCAAACAGGATACTACATGTACACTGCCACATCTTTGTTTTTTTATTTTGTATTTTTCAGCCATTGTTTTTCCTGTCACAGACAAGCGCACATTCTTACTAAGTTGACTGAATTAAAAGGTCGGGACTCCTGTGTGCGTCAGTGCCGCTGTGCGTGAGGTTATCTTGGGCTGTGGTCTGCCCCACTTCCTGGAACCAGAAACAGTACAGTTTCATCTTTAGAGAAAAGTGATAGATTGAGATTAAAAACAAGAGTCAAAGAGATATTATAACTTCAACATCTATAGTGTCAATAGTCCAGCGTTATGTATTCCAGCTGATGTATACGGCTTTGTTGGGGTACTGTATATACGTATTCGTTTTTACAATGAGCCAAAGCACGGTTCGCGCAAATGTAAGTTGCAATGTATACACCTAATTAAAATAAAAATAATTGAAAATCTGCTTTATGCAGAACATAACAATAAACTGGAAATTAATTATATGGCTGATACTGCAAAATGCGGCCTTCCATCCTGGAATTGATCCTTTTGTGTCAAGGTATGTACTGCATATTCAGCACTAGCATTTCCAAACACAAATAATATAATTTTTTTTTTTACTACGTGAGGCCTATTTTTCAGTTTAAAACACCACAGGTTCTGCTCACACATGACCAATTGCATCCCAAGACCTGGAAAAATGCTTCTAATGAAGCGTTTTTTATCAGGGGTGTCAAACTAATTTCCACTAGGGGGCCACTAGGGGGGTTGAAACTGTAAGACTGTATAGCTGTAACTACTCCATAACGTGTTAATACATGTTTCTGCAAGTAGTTATTTCTTTATTCAAGTTTCGAATACTGTACATTGTGTACTCTGCGTGTAACGTAAATTAATTTATTAAGTTAAGGAACTCAGCATTAGGCAATTAAACACTTACGTTCCTACGGGCCACACAAAAAGACTTGACGGGCCACATTTGGCCCGCGGGCCATGGGTTAGACACATATGTTTTTGATATACACACACACATATACATATATCCATACATACATATACTGTATATCATATATATATATATATATATATATATACACACACACATATATATATACATATATATATATTTCGCATTTTTATGGCAATGTCCATTGAGTTCATACTTGAGTTCATATTTTGGAGAATGACATTGCCCTTGTCAATAAATCTCAGTCTTCAGAGGTCATACTGTAGTCGACGGGGAAGTGAGTTCAGTATATGCATAAGAGGTGTCAAAACTTCAATTTCTATGAACTCTTCTCAAAAATGGTCCCTGGTTTCCTGTTGCACAACTGATGATGAAGTGGTAGAAGCTCATCCAGTAAAACCTGCAGAAACCCCCAGTCCAAAACCATACAACCTAATGACTGTGTGTCAGATAGAAACAGCACAGAGCAAAAAGAAAGCTATCATTGTTATTAACAACAGGAAGTGACAAAAAAAAACTTACTGGAAGTTGCTTCGTCAGACAGCTGAAAAAAAAAAAGAAGGACAAACTACTATTTATTTTTCTGCAGCACACCCTATTGCTGGTTCCCCGGTGCCTTCCCTGCCCTAAATTGTTGCTAGGTTTCTTCTTTTGGCTGTACAAAAATATGTATGTATGTTTAAATATCACATTTTGGTTTTCCCATCAGCTTTGGTAAGATGCTAAAAGAAGTCTCTGAATCAGACGTGACTGGTGACACGTCTTGGTACAATTGATAGATAGGGTTTAGCTAAATGATCAAATGCTATTGGAGGATTGACGAAGCCACTTGACTGATTAATAGGTCGGAAAGTGAGGATGTTTAAGTAAATGCAATTTAGTTTTCTATTTATCTATCTATCTATCTACCTACCTACCT